AGAATGAATCTGCATATCATTAGGTTTGTGAAATGTGGCCCCAAGCTAGATATCACTTGCTTAGAGTTATTCCCTCTCCTCTTGGGACAACGACTTGTATGCAAAGAAACTAAGGTTTAATATAGAGCAGACTCATTGGAATTAATGAACCTAAAGGTATCCATTTCAATGGGTTTACTCAGAGAAAAACTAAGCTAACTAACTCTTCAAGCTTCACTTTCTATCCAACCCAAGTTCTAAGCAGAGTTGTAGGAAAAGTTTATGGAACTAAAACTGCAATCCTATGAACACTTATTTAGGGAAAGAGTCCACTGAATCCAATGAAAATTTCCCCAAAATATGGAACCAGATTTCATGACTGTTTTGGGTCCTATTCTATATTACTGGATCAAGATACCATTTTTGTTTGTTTGTTTGTTTGTTTGTTTGTTTAGCATCTCATATTCACTGTGGGGAAATATTAGTCTGAAACTCACATCTGCTTTCCCCCATTATACTTTTCCAGGTGACCCATTCCAAGCATATGTAACGATAATGCCATTTTGTTGGTGCTACATAGCAAAAATACATTTTCATCACAGGCCAGCTGAGCAAAAGATTTCAGAAATAACTGTTCTCTTACTTCACTGGCAATGATTAAAGGTTAAACAAAGGTAAAGCAAGAGAAAAACTGCCCTACAAAAACCAGGCCTGTATGCTGGGCTACAGTCGTATAAGAGGTCAGTCCAAATCAGATATCGGAAGTAGTTGTACTGTTCCTCACACCTTCTCCAATTACGACGAACTCTTCCACAGATCAAAACCAGACTGAACTTGGACACTAACATACACCATTTTCCTCCACACAGCTTTTTTCTCTGCAAAGAGGACTTTTTCCAACCTCCAACTCAAATATAAATGCAGTGAGTTTTCCTTCCTTTCAAATACATCGTTCAACATGGTGTCAAGTCTGATTAGCAGAAGGCAGGTTCATCAACAGTAAATAATTTGATGCGTTAAGGGAAAGTGATTCCATGAAGAAGTGACATTCTGTTAAGTAACTAGCAGGTCAAGTACTGCATTTTAAATCATACGCTCTACCCGAAAAGGGAAATGTACTGAGACACACGCTTACAGCTACAGTGAGATGAAATAGTCCTGGCAGTAAATCAAAAGTGTTGGGTAAAACAGATGTGTGAAACACAACTGCTTGGGCTTCATATATGAAAAGAGAAGTTATTTCATTATTTTGATATGTATACAATACAAGATAATTTTCCTTTTCACACCCTGGAAATCGTCTTCAGTATTTTTAGTGCTAAACCATTTCTGTTGTTTGTGATACTAGAAGTGCAGAATATATATGCAAGTGAATTTCTGAGTTTCCGTTCCACCAGCCAGTTCTGATTTTCTGGTGCTTGTGTGTGTCTGCTGATATGCCTTACAACATGAGGCTGTCAAACGTGCTCCCTGCAGAGTTCTGAAGAGCTCTAGGTTTGTTTGGTTAAAGCAGAGCAACATACGGTAGATTTTTCTTTAAAAAACAAAACAAAAATACCTCAAATGAAGCTTCTAACTCTTTTTTTTAAAAAAAAACCAAAACACTTGCTTCTGTGCTTTAAGAAAATAAAAATCCAGAACTCTTCAATGCTTCACAGACAAGAAAGCTCACTTCTTACAAAACTCAGGGAGCTGGAGAAACATCAGATAGAAGAAAACATAGACATGGAAAAGGTCAGAGAAACAAAGCAAAAGAGACTTCTTGTGGGAGCCCTGATCTGACACGAGGTGGGTAGTGACATCTGGCTTCAACTCAAAAGGGGAGAGAAGATCCCACCCAAATCACCCAGTTATTTGGCCCACACACTCTGATGATCTGGGATCCTTACTGGAGATCACAGGCTGGAGCGCCATTTGCTGGGGCCGTTCTGCTTAGAGTTTTCTGCATCAAGAATCATCTTGGACTAAATTTCCTACCAGGCCCCCCTCCAACACAAGATGGTATGGGGAAAGGCAACCAATTTAAAAGAAAAAAAATGAGCAACCAGTGAGCCAGGCAGCCTCTGTCCCAATCCATCTTCCAAGGAAAACAGCATATTAGTGTACTACAGCAGTGTTTCCCAACCTTTTTTGGGCAAAGGCACACTTGTTTCATGAAAAAAATCTCGAGGCACACCACCATTAGAAAATGTTTAAAAAATTAACTCCGTGCCTATATTGACTATATATAAAGTAACTCTCTTTAATAGGAATCAAATAAACACAAAGATAGTATTTTATAATTACTTTATTATGAAATAGTAAGTAAACAGAAATATGAAAAATTATAACATACTTTATTCAGTGCGCAACCTGGGCCTGTTTACCATGCGCACAACATCATCCAACACATGAACTAGGTCTGCTGGTAAAGTCTTGGCTACGAGGGCCTCACGGTGCAAAAAACAATGCGTAACAATCACATCTGGATTTCTTTCCTTCACTCTGCTTACAAAGCCTTTGAAACCTCCCTAGATATCATCGTCATTTGCATGCTGTTAAAAACCATGCTCGAGGCGGCTTACGACATGGCAATATTTACATAATTACCCAAATGCACTCATAAGAAACCGTATCAAAGCACCCACAACGAAATTAAGCAATCCCCACACAAGTTATAACGAGATCTATAAAGAGTAGTTTAGTATCACGAACAGCAAGATGGACATAAACAAAATAAAATCTTGACTCTAACAACCCCACCCGGCCTAAATCTCCTGCGCGCACCGATGCCCACGCAGGCATTTCCAGCAGCTCTTCCTCCTCCGCCTCTTTTTGCGTTGCCAGCAAAGAAGGAATGAGGAAGAAAAGGTGCAGTGGCGAAGAAGCGCGCCTTCTCAGAATGCCGCTGCTGCCCGAGGACTACATTTCCCAGAATGCCGCGGCCGCCCAGCCGAGATGCGCCCTGATTGGACGGCGTTGCTAAGCCGCTCGCGCCGGGGCTGAGCGTTCGGCAGAGGCGCGCGCCATAAGACGGGCGTCGTGCGCGGAGCCTGGCTCGGGTCGCCAATGCTGCGGGCGGACATGGCGAGCTGGGCGGGACTCGGGCGCGCGCTGGGCGCCTGCTGCCTCCTAGGCCTCTTCTGCGGCACTGCGCTGCCCTTCTCGCTGCAGGGCGCGAACGAGAAAGCGCCCGCCTCCCTCCCACGGCACACCAGGTAACGTCTCGCGGCACACTAGTGTGCCGCAGAACACCGGTTGGGAAACACTGTACTACAGTATCATCTGCAGACAAAAGAACTCTGCAGCAGTGATCTGGTATCAAGTGCCCTGAAACCTCTAGAGCAAGTTATGGCCATCATCTTATGGGGGGACCCCATATGCATCCATTTCCACTATGTTGGTTTTTTTGCCCTTAATATGGTTGTACAGCACACTGTACGCACTGAATAATCAGTCAAATCCTTCTATCGAAATGGTAATTTGCTAGTAAGGCAGTGCAGCTGCGTTCCAGACCCAGCAGTGCCTTCCAATATTTGTCTTGGCATAAGCTATGGATCTGATCTTCCCCTATAAATATTTATTTATTTGCAACGTATCAAAAAGATTTCATCATCGCTTGACAACCACCGGGGCTTTTACTGTTCCCCGAGGACATGATAATGGCATCCATTTACTAAATCTGAGAATGTGAGACATGTTCTCTACAGCTGTTCCAGAATATTGTGAAACTCCTCTTTCCTGGAAGCTTGCAAAACCTAAAAAGCAATGTAAGATCTTTGAAACTGGGCTGCTGCTCTCCCCCTGCCCTTCTCCCCAAGTGAGGGGGTTCAGGATTTATGAGACAGGGTTATTTGAGCACTGCATTTTCCCAACAAGCATGTAAATGACAAATTATCTATCAACCTAGGATTTGAGGAAAGAGTACGGCTGCCTCTGAAAATCTGAAAGAACTTGCAATATGGCCCAAATGGTTTATGGATAATATGGAACATATTGTGGGAGAGTGTCACTGAAGGAATTTCCTGGTCAGATTTTTGCTGATGCCACCAACAGATGTATTCTCATGCAGTTCGGGGTGATAGCCTTGTTCATGTTATTGCATCAATTTAATTGTGTTGCACTACATCAGCAGGGACATTTGAAACTTTCAGGAAACAGCCTTTGCCTCTGCTTTGCAATTCTGCCCTACTATATCAAGGTAAATCAAATTTCTATTATGAGGCATCAATGGTAACTTTTGCTAGCTATCATTTGCCTACTGGTGTCAACAGCTTATTCTCAAAGATCCAAAAGCAAACAGTGACCCTTTCTACTCACAGTCAAGTGAGGGTGTTGTTTTGTTTTGTTTGTTTGTTTGTTGTTGTTTTGAATTGCTGAAACCAGCCTTTTTAAAAAGGAAACAATTTTTAAAAACAGAGAAACAGTCTGCCTATAGTAATTTTTCAAAAGACCATCAGCATTTTTAGAATTGCATGCTGCACATTTTAAGCTAAAAGCACCCTGCCTACACGGTGTCCTAACAAAGTGCCAGAGTCCAAAGAGATCAGAATATGAGTAATATCATTGAATATCACAAGCTATCCTAGATGCTAACACTTTTTTCTACTTAATGGAGGGGAAAAAGAACTGTGTGACATATTTTGTTATATATACATTTATAGCATTCTAGGTTGCTGTTGCTTGATTTAAAAAAAGGCACAAAACACTAAACTTTAGAAATGAGCATAAACATTAAGTACTTTATACCTAAAACATAAAAGGGATGAAAATTTTGCCAGGCACATTAAATAAACACTGAGAGTAATTGAGTATGCTCCAAATTTTAAACATTAAAAATAATTTCATATAATGCCATAAAAGTTATTACCAAGAGCGCTGAAACAAATGGGAGATGAAATGTAGTTAAGTCCAGTTTAATAATACATTCAAAATCTTCTCCCTCACTTGCACCACTCTCCTATCTTCTCTTCATTTCTGTCACAAACAACTGACAACATCAGTTTTTAAAAAAGAGTTATAAAGAGACAAACACCCCTTACCCTGTGGGTTTGAGGAGCTGTTCTTGCTTCTCAGTGTTACAGACATGAGTAAACAAGAGAATTTCCTGCATCTTTTTCTCATCTGCACGGCTCTGGGGGCCGGCCAACAGGCTTATTTCCAGCATTAAAGCCACTCCACACTAAATGGAAAAGAAATTCCTATTGGCCAGGCTTTATCAAAACTAATACCACAACACAATTCTTTTAATACAATGGCATTAAGCCAATATAAAACATTTTTCTGGTTTCCCTTGTCTACCACTAAGCTTTACTAACATCTCCCTGCCCTCACTTGTGCAACGTATGAGTAAATCCCTATCATTTTACAGAGAATAAATTTCAAATGGGAGGGGGGCAGTTATACACTCTCCTTTGTGTTACTTTTAATAAATGCCTACATTTTACATATCCTCATACCGCACTCAAGGTAGATTTGCACTGTACTGTGCTTATTTGCAAACCAAAATACTAACGTATATGTACAGTCTTGCAAGTGTACACTGTAAAATGTGAAGCAGAAAACAGCATTTGTAAATATCTCAAAACACACAGTAGACATGTATGCTTGAGGTCCCTGTCATCTGTCCACTAAAAGTACACATATAACTGCTTTATTTGTAGACTTCTTTGTCTCAGCAAAGGATTCCATGTTTCTGAAGGACACACTATATTTGAATTGCAGATCTGGGACAGCCACTTGTACAGATTTTGCCCTTTCCCTTAGAGGTGCCACACATGTACATAAGAGCATACATATGCACACTCGTGGTGTAACTTAATCTGTAAGTTTCTCCCAAACAGTTGGAGATTCTGTAGAGGACACATACCCTTGGAGAAGACTGATATTCTAGATCCACTTCAATCATGATTCAAGCCCAGTATTGATACAGAAAGTGCCTTGGTTTCCCTGTAAGATGACCTGTATCAGGAGAACACGACTGTTGATTCGCCTTGATTTTTCAGCTGCTTTGGATAACCACAACCGCAGTACATATTGTTATATATTTTCCTTAGTATCATGTGCTGAGGGAATAAAGCTTGGCACATACTTTAGGGAGAAATGTGGAGAGATCGGTCCATGGGGCTGTAATTTATCTGCTGTGTTAAAGAGATAAATATGTAACATGAGACAACTACATGTTTTGTATCTGCAGTAATTGACAATGGGTAAATGTTTAGGAAGAATGCTCTATGTTGCCAGGGAGATTCAGAATTTTAAGTATATTTATGTTTCTATTTAATTCAGGTTTTATATAATTTTATTCAGGTTTGTGTAAATTGGATTTCTTTTAACACTAATTCAAACCCAAGGGTAAATGCAATATATCTGGAACGTTCAGAATTTAAAGTTTGTTTTGTTGAACATGGTTTCATTTGGGTCTGTGTCAGCCTTATCTATGTTAACTTGTGTTACTTTCATGTAGATATGTAAGTTCACTTTGTTAAGCTCTGGTTTTGTGATGGTCTGATGACTAGAGACAAATAGCGAAATCTGATTTGTTTCATGAAGTGTGTGGTTGTTGTTGTTGTTGTTGCTTTAGCGTGCCTTAAGATTGGCCAGCAGGTGCCAGTTCCTGATTTATCTCTTTGTTCAGCTTGTTGAGAACCAGCACAGTATCAGCATCGCCATACATTCTCTTCAAATGCACCAATTGCACTGTTAAACTATTCCACAACCTCACTGCATATCTACAAGTGTAAGGCAGGTACTGGATGTCTGCTTATGTCGTAATAGTTTTTATTTTCATTTTTTTCCAAAATTTTTTATTGGTTTTCCAAATTTATAGCAAACAAATAAAACAAAAACATCAAAAACAAACAAACAAACATTTATCTTAACTATAATTATTCCACTTTTGTTAACATTGTTAGGTGACTTCCTCAAATCCCCCTGGCTGAGTTTCCATATCAATAATTGTAGCAGTTTTCCAAAACTATTTTCACACAAAATTTACTTAGTCAATTAACATCTTTCTTTCTTTTCATTTTAACTTTAAACATAATATTCTACAACATCACATGTTTAAATTGCAGGCCTATCTTATATTCGTAAGTAATTCTATTTAAGTTATCTTAACATATTTAACTAAATAATCTTTAATTTTTTTCCATTCCTCTTGATACTCCTCCTCCTTCTGGTCACAGACTGTTCTGGTCAGGTCGGCTAGCTCTGAAAAATCCATCATCTTCATCTGCCATTCCTCCACTGTTGGTACATCTTGTGATTTCCAATTTTTGGCCAGCAAAATTCTAGCTGCAGTTGTGGCATACAAAAACAATCTAACATCTTTCTTGGGCAATTCCAAACCTATTATTCCAAGAAGAAAGGCCACTGGTTCTTAATAAATGTATATTTCAACATTTTTTTCAATTCATTATATATCTTTTCCCAGAAGTCTTTCACCTTGGGACAGGTCCACCACATATGATAAAAGGTTCCTTCTTTTTCTTTTCATTTCCAACATAAATTGTCACTCTTATGATAGATTTTTGATAGTTTTACAAGGGTTAGGTACATCATTTTCATGACATTTTCCCTGCGTACATGCAGTGAACTTGACCCCTTTTCTCTACAACCTTTCCCAATCTTCAAACATTATATTGTGTCCAACATCTTTTGCCCAATCTATCATCACAGATTATGCCGTAATAGTTTTTAAAAGATCTTAACATTGAGGGAGTGATCCTGGGCTGAAGTTTAGGACTTATTTCTGACTGAGCCTGTCTGAGCTGAGTTCAGCTGCATCCTAAACTGCTCCTTAGGTTTGAACCATTAAAGTGGATTAAAGTGTTTCGTCACCCTAGTGCAAAAAGAATACAGTTGGAAAGTGATGGGAAAATGCACTGAAAAGTGTGGGATCAATGAATGATTAACAGGAGGATATGCAAACACTCCACAAGCCAATCAGGATGAATGCTCAACCGGACATAGTCTAACCTCTTTGCAAGCTTTGTGCAAGCCAATCAATATGAACACTCAATAAATAGGTGATCCGGAGGAACCCTTAATGATTTGGGTAGTCTAATCTGCTTTCAGTTGATGCTGGTTTTATATTTTTTTAAGTTAAGATTGTAACTATTATTGACATTTTAATGTTGATCTGGAAATGTTGTAATGCTGTTGCTTTAGTTAATTATTTATGTATATGTTGTTGTTAATTGTCTTGAGAAGATTTTAACTTTTTAAGCAGCATAATTTTTAAAAGAAATACTGAGCCTGTGATTTTATGCACACTGTAAAATATTATACTGATTTCCCCCACTACTGAGCTTGTGTTATTTTGCAAAACACAGCATAAAATTGGAGTACTAGAACAAGTTGCCTGGGTTGATGTACAGCATCTGTTCCTGGGAGATTTGAAAAATAGGTTAGATGAGCCTTTAACTCAGTTAATTTAGGGGAACTGGCACCCCCCACAAGGGAGCTGTTCTCTGACCAGTATTATTTTCATAACCAGAGTAGGCATTTCTTTTGAGTTGTTTATAGGCATTGTGCAGAGCTGATGGCTCACACAAAGTCTCCTCTATACATCAAATCCCAGTTAGGCAAGCCTGTCACTGGTACCACATGCTTCCATTAGTGGACTCCCTTGTGTATTAGGTCTGGCCCTTTGTTTATTGGAAATGTAATTTTGGGGCTAGATGTACAAGGAAGTAATTGAGAAACATGAAAGCAAATGTAAAATTAAACAGGATTGCATTCTCAAACAAATTCTTGCAGCAGATCATTACTCTCATATATCTTCTAACTTGCTCTCCCTCTCCAAAAACGCTGCATGTGCTCCTTAAATCATCTAACATAAAGAGAATGGTTTTTACTTTGCTGTTTTGTACTTTGCTCCTCCCTGAAGCTGTGTGAACTTAAGAAAATCACTTTGTTTTAAAGAACATTCTATTTCACCATGAACTCTGGACTTTTCAACAGTTTTGAAAAGCACAGACCTTAGATCTGTCTTGAGACACAGAGGACACGTTCAAGGCGTATACATTTTGGCTCACATAGGAAAGTACCATAAAATTATGAAAACCATCCAGAGAGAAATAAATATTTGATCAAACAACATGCAAGACTTGTGTGCCAAGACCTGTACAATACGCAAAACAAGTTTTCCATGACTGAGATTTTTACAACAAACACAAACACTTCAGACAACAAGGAAATGTGCACTTAGACTCTTTATTTAACATTTCCTGTAAAATCTCATGGAATTGAAAAGCTTTATTCTAAATTCCATAAAGACGCATTTGCCAGAGAAGACAACTGGGGAATCTTTACTTTAGAAGGAATCACTCATCAACTGGCTGATTAGAATATAATGTTGATAGCTCAAACTACATGGTTTGATGGATGGCTATTTCTACAGCATCAGTTGTGCTGCTCATCTCCTTACTGAAGTCAGGGTGGATTTCCTTCTGTTCTGGTACATTTCATCTCTGGCTATATGCCAGGCAGAATTTTACAGGGCAGTTCATATTAGCAGTGGGAGCATTAACAGGAAGGAGAAAAGCAAAACTCTGAGTCCCTTAACAGTAAAATCCAGCTCTAGGCAGATACAAAGGAAAAAGATGATTAATCCAAAACTTACAGAAGACAAGGAAAAAGTATTTAATTTTCCTTGGAGTATTAACCTAGGTCAAAAGTCACTTAGAACAGCAGAAGTCAGCATTTCTAAAATAGATGCAAATATGTTGCCATTTTTCATTAATATATATATTTTTTTGTACATGTCTCATTGATAAATGTGTCAATAACATGATTTTGGTACATAATGTCATTGTATAATGACGCAACCTTCCTACACTAAACACATTTAAAGAAGCCCACATTTCATTGCGTGCTGGGATTGGACACCAATCCTTTTATCCATTCTGAACATAAGAAAAACACTTATCTCTGTAAGAAAATGTGGTAGTAGCTGATGCGGTCTCTTGGTTTCTGCCCTGAACTCCACAACTGAAACTCTTGCATGTGAGCAGGAAGAAATCTTTATTCTAGGCTAGCAATAGTTAGATCAGGCTTCAGGTGCAGAATGCCAAAGGCATGGCTAGACAGACCAAGAGCAGCATCAGGGGTCCAAGACTGGACAAGAG